TGATTTGAATGATATACAAGGTTAGTCCCCAGGCATCACTAATGCATATAACTTTACTGGACCAAACCAATTTTCAATGGATGTTGCCCAATGTCAGGCGACCCTGGGAATTACGAATTATGGGAGCTTCGTTTGGGAGACTTCGTAACAGCATCCTGTTACATTCATTTCTTGTTAAAGTAGAAATAGTGAAGCTGAACGTGGTGTCACAGAAAATTTCATGGTTATTTAGTGTCAAAAAGAGGGAGTGAAATTTTTTTTTACTTGAATAATTACAAGAAGAAGTTTATTTTTCGACTTATGAGCACATATATGTATGTATACATGTATCATCATTTTATAACCATGATAACAAAAGTTTAAATATAATCTGAAAGTGATGCCATTATCTTGCTCTATTTTGTCATTGAAACTGAAATAATGAATTTAATAGCAATAGAATTTCATCTTCACATTGTTAGACTTCTCCATGGCAAAAAATGATGAGTCCTGTGACGCAGCATAAAAAATCCTTAGTGAGAACCCTGATGCATGCATATTTTAATTTAGAAATTGACCATGAGATGTAAAGTCCAATTTAACTCTCGTTGTACCCTGAAACAAAATTGACCAGCCCTCTGGTGGTGGGGAAAATGTGCATGCTGTAGCACTGATTTACAATTTTACAAGACACACATGTGTTATTGACCCAAATTGATATACCATAATACTGCTTGTAAAAGAGAAGTGCTTTGTATATTTTATGACTGTTAAGTGTTTATTTGTTTATGATAAAAACAGATGGATTGAAGTGTGTGCATCAAAAAGCAGTGATAGATTTATTTACACTTACTGGAAATCAGTCAAAAAAACAAAAAAACAAATAGTATTTTTGAAAAAACTTATTATGAAGATAAAATATTTGTTTTTTAGATTATATAGGTGATAAAACATTTGGTATATTATATTCTATATTTGTTTAGCAGATACAATGTTGTTTCCCAGTAGTACATGTGTTTTTAAATTATACCATCAAAATGATCAAAGTCTGAGACCCTTTTAGTGCTATATGTAAACTAAAACCTTTGACATTTTAGTCTTTAATGCTACTATATATATGTTACGTGTATATCAGGTTCTGGGACCTTTGTTTTTCTATGTAAGATCAATGCATGGGATCTTTTTACAAATGTATGCTATATCAAAACAGTAAAGTCTTCAGTTTATTGTGTGGTCAAGTGTTTGATGGACCTGTTTTTCTTTGTTTTTTGTTTTTTACTATGATATCAGTGGTTGAGTGCGAAGACTGTGAGTTTTGAATGTACCCTTTTTTTCTCTGCCTCTTTTTTACTGCAGAATGCTAGAAAAGTTCATTCACTAAGTGAAAGCCATGCTCAGTTGCAAGATTATGTTGAATGTATGATGGAAAAGAATTTCCCTCCTGATTACGTAATCCTTCAAAAGAGGTATAATGGTTACCACATGTGTTAGTTTGTGTATCGTACATTATCAAACATTATCTAAATTACATACATTGTATGTAAGTATCAGAGATAAAAAACGGGAAATTACTGCAAACAATATCCTATGTTGTTAATGGTGAAATGGTAAAGGTCATTCAAGGTCATTGATGAAGTGTATTGGAGGGGGGTTGATGGTAAATAAAACTGTTTGTTTATAATTGCTTTTCAAGACTTTCCAATTTAGTTAATTGACTGTAAAGAGAATTAAAGAGATGTAAACATGAACATAGGGCCATATACAATGTAATATTTGTTTTAACTATTCTTCTACCTTTAAATGGCTTCACAGTCAAGTCAAGGTCATTAAAGGCCTAGAGGCCCCTCATGATAAGTACATGTATTATACTCCACACAAGGAAAAGTGTTTTTGACCTGTCTATTACAACAATGTAATTCTTCTACACTTTAAGGATAAGGCTGGCCTTCATTTTATGCCAGATCATCTTCAAATTTTGATAAAAAATTTCCTTCTGATGGTCTGTGGCTCTCTCCACCAATAAAAACTGACCACCAGGATATAACCAATAGAGCTGAAAGGGGCATTTAACACTAACAATCAATCTATAAACAAAGTTTTCACTCATCAATACCTTCATTACCTTGACTTTGATGATAACAAATATTCAATGGGGATCAATTTTCTCCAAAAATATCTACATATTTTTATACTCTGAAAACTTTAAAACTTGTGTGCTAAAAGTCCCTTTGTGAAATTTTATTATTTTCAAGCTATCATTAGAGTTTAAATGAAAATTTTAAGTTAATTTGATTTTAAATGATTTTCTTTTTGACAACCATTCCAAACCCCACTCACTGGTTAATACAATACCAAATTATGGACAGATGAGATATTCACTAGGAATAAAAGTAGATTTAGGGTTGTACAAATAGGGTATCTATCAATAAGACAGCAACCAAAGTTGAAACAAAACAAATAAGCAAAACATAGTCTTCAACAATGGGCAATGGGGTCTCAAAAAGTTGTGAATAAATTTAACAGAAACCATCAATGATCAATTCAGATGGATTTATTTATATTATTATTTTTGAAATATTGTATATTTATACAGTGTACAGACTTTTTCCCTCAGTCATAAAAAACAAGATGAATTCATCTTAAAGTTAATTATAGAAATCATAACTCTTACAATAAAAAGTCTTCGCCTAAACAAGATGAGTTTTAAAAGCGCAATAACTGTTTGATATAATATCCAAAATATCTAAACGACATCTTGCGAAGCAACTTTATACAGCAAGAAAAGGGTTTGGCGGAAGAAGAAAAAAAAAAAAAATAATCAGAACAAATACAATAGGTCTTTCCACAGAAAAGTGGAAAGACCTTATCATGATCAGAGTGAAAGTATTTAAGTGGACGACTTCAGTTAGAATTCAGTAACATTTAGGTGTACATGTTTTCCATGTAGATAGTCAGATTATTATAATGCCCAGGTGTGTTATATATATGTTTTGCAGATGTTATGTAGGTCTAATTACAGGTACACCTTTGTACTTGGGGCCATGATATAATCTATAAGTTGTTCTTAATAAATAATGAGAATTCTTAAGTCCTTTTTATGTGATTTAATAATAGTTCTGATTTCTCTTTCATTTTCAAATGAAAGTTTTGATATTTGAGTGAGACTATCTTGCTATATATATGTATATTTATGTTTATTATAAAAGAGTTGACGGTTTGTACATGTTGTATGTTTGTGTGTTAAATGTGAAGATGTCTGGACACATTATAAAAAGATGTTGTATTATGATTGCCAATGAGCCAACTATCCATCAGATACCAAATGGTGTAGATGTAAGCAATTATAGGTCCTTCAAAAATGAGCAAATCCCATACAGTCATGACAGTATAGTAAATTAAACTGTAAAAGGCCCCAACACAACAAACATTCCTGGGTTTGATATGGTCCCCCTTCTTGTAATCTCAGGTCCTAAATGAAGTTTAAATATATTGTATTGACCTTGAATCAACCTTCAATAAAAGTCATATTTTCTTTTGGAATATAATTTGTATATTTAGCAATAAATTTGTCTATGCCTTGAGGAAAGAATAATAGTAGGTGGGAATTATTGCCTTTGATATAATAGATGATAGTAATATTAGCCATTCATAGAAAATCTTATACATTTATACATTATAGGTTCTCATTTTTGTGAGAGTAGACAAAATTGACATGTTTGTGTCCAAAACATGACATTTAATTCCTGTGGTCTATGTATACTTACCTGGGTCACTTTTAGATTCTTGAGCCCTCAGTGACAGTCAATGACCTGCTGCAAGGCAAAATTCCTATCCCGAACTGTTATTCCTTCTTTTTTTATCTACTTTTTTACATTTGATTTGTTCTTGTCTGAATATATGCTTGAAATATTTGCCACTGGCTGTTGTTGTACATATTGTTCTATTGTTGCTTTAATGTTTTTTTTTATTCTTGTTCTAATCTTACTTTAACATTTTTTCTATTATTGTTCCGCAAGTTCAATCATTTTTGAAAGAACAGATGTTTCCCTCAAGATATTTTTTGGGTTAATTTTGTTGTATGGTTGCTGTCACAATGGTTTATACCATTCCAAAATCAAACAATCAAATCATTCACATGATTCAGATGATTCATTATTGCATATATATATTATCCAAAGATACAAATTGGATAATGTGACATTAATGTACAATGTTCAAAATTTTAGACTTTGTCATCTGATGATTTGATACAGTGTACATACTGTAATTACTTGATAATGTCATTGCTAGTCCTAAGTGTTTCAATATACTTTTTCGCACTTTTGACTCTTGATTATATAATTTTTTGACAGGTTACCTACTCTGTGATCAAGTAAGAGCAAACAAAAGAAGTAAAATCAAACATGAAATCAGTGCAATTTGGGGAGAGAGTTAACTGTTTTCCAGTGATTTTATCGTGGACAAAAAACATAAAACAGTTAATTTCATCCCCAAATTGTACCGATTGTAAGCTTGATTGTACTTCTTTAAGTTGCTCTTTTAAAATATTTTACCGATTACCTGTGAGGTTGTCCTACCACAGAGTGGGTAACCTGTCAAAAAAGTATGAACTTCAGAGTCAAAAGTTGGTAATATGAAAATAGTCTATAGGATATAGAGTTATTCTAGGCACTGCCACAATCCATCTCATCACTGCTTTGAAGTGTCATGAAACATTTTCATTGTAAATAAATCATCCACAAAGGTGCATCTTCTGTAGAGTCTTACTGCTTTAACACTGTGTTATTAAAGGTGTAAACAGGTAATAAAAACATGTTTTAATGCCCAAAACATTTGTTTCTAAAATCAGTTAACTTTTGTTTTTGAATGGATTTTTCTTGAGATATTAATGTGTAAATTTTATGTAAATGTACTTTAATGAAACATTCCTTCTGATTGGGAATGGTTACTTTACTGGGCCTAGAGAATGTACTGATAACGTAACACCTCCTGGTACTTAACTGGGCCCTGAAAATGAACAGATGATGTAGCACCTCCTGGTTACTTTACTGGGCCCTGAGAATGCACTGATGATGTAGCACCTCCTGGTTACTTTACTGGACCCTGAGAATGTACTGATGATGTAGCACCTCCTGATTACTTTACTGGGCCCTGAGAATGTACTTTTGATGTAGCACCTCCTGATTACTTTACTGGGCCCTGAGAATGCACTGATGATGTAGCACCTCATGGTTACTTTACTGGGCCCTGAGAATGTACTGATGATGTAGCACCTCTAGATTACTTTGCTGGGCCCTGAGAATGTACTTTTGATGTAGCACCTCCTGATTACTTTACTGGGCCCTGAGAATGTACTTTTGATGTAGCACCTCCTGATTACTTTACTGGGCCCTGAGAATGTACTTTTGATGTAGCATCTCCTGATTACTTTACTGGGCTCTGAGAATGTACTTTTGATGTAGCACCTCCTGATTACTTTACTGGGCCCTGAGAATGCACTGATGATGTAGCACCTCCTGATTACTTTACTGGGCTCTGAGAATGTACTTTTGATGTAGCACCTCCTGATTACTTTACTGGGCTCTGAGAATGTACTGATGATGTAGCACCTCCTGATTACTTTACTGGGCCCTGAGAATGTACTTTTGATGTAGCACCTCCTGATTACTTTACTGGGCCCTGAGAATGCACTGATGATGTAGCACCTCATGGTTACTTTACTGGGCCCTGAGAATGTACTGATGATGTAGCACCTCTAGATTACTTTGCTGGGCCCTGAGAATGTACTATGATGTAGCACATTCTTTATTAATTTTACCCTCTGCCTGAGAAATTATTCACTAAGAAGAGGAGCTATTTATTGAAGATGATTTATTTCTCCTCGGCTGTGAATATTTTTTGTGCCACCTTGAAAAGTTGATCTTGTCAAGATAGCGGTAATCTGATATCTCTTTATCTCTTAAAGTGCATAAAAATCTTTCCAAAATCCATGATTTTTTTGTTGTTGAATGAATAAATGTCTTAGACTAACAATAAAATGTACAAATGTATATATTAGTATGGTCAAAGGATAGGTTGATTGGTATTCAGATGTTAAAATTTTCATACATAAATGGATTGTATGATCTCTATATTGATTTGTAAGTAAGGTCAAATTAGAATGACCTTGTCCAGTTATGATAGGAATCATGATATATTGTTTTGTCATGTTTGTTCAGTCATTCCAAAGGTTCATAAGACATGTGGCAATGTCCAGTATTAAATGGTTTGGTCCAGTAAAATGTCAACAATTATTGGACTGAATGACCAGTGTAGATGTAAGAATTTTTTTATACTCATAATATAATAGACCTGTTCAAATGGTCCAATAATGCTTGAATTATTACTGGACACAAAGACCACTGAGGTCCAAAAAAACCTTCGGAAACTCTGTTTGTTGTTGCTGTTTGGAGTATTTCAAGGTTGTGATATCATGGTTTAATGTGACTATTACAATGTAACTGATTTTCCCCAAATTTTGAATACCAGCAGCATTGGCCATTATTATAACACTATGAAAATTATGAGGAAAAAATATGAAGTCTTGGACCCCTCAGATTGTTATGACTCATCTGGCAGAAAATCCGAAAGTTCAACCCTTGTCTGGAGAAAAAAGACTAAAGTCAGTTTTCAAATTTTTTTTTCATTAATTATCTAAGCCGGGGGAAACACGTATGACTTTTAAAGTACATTTATGCTGCATCTTGTTTTGTCATGTTTTGTTGTTAGTTCATGCTGTTTGCAGTATTTCAAGGTTGTAAAATCCTGGTTTTGTAACCCCCCATTGTAAATACAACTATTTCATGAGGGAGCTTACAGGAGATTGCATGGTTATTCATTTTTATACGACCGCAAAAAAATTTTTGTGGTCGTATATTGGTATGACGTTGGCGTCGTCGTCGTCCGGCGTCGTCGTCGTCGTCGTCGTCGTCGTCCGGCGTCGTCTGGCGTCGTCCGAAGACACATTGGTTTTCGCACTCTAACTTTAGTTTAAGTGAATGGATCTTTATGAAATTTTACCACAAGGTTCAATACCACAAAAGGAAGGTTGGGATTGATTTTGGGGGTTATGGTAATAACAGTAAAGGAATTAGGGGCCAAAAAGGGGCCAAAAATAAGCATTTTTGTAACTTCCAGACATAACTTGTGTGTTAGTGTATGGATCTCTCTGACATTGTACCACAAGGTTCCATATCACTAAAGGAATGCTGGGATTGATTTTGGGGGTAATTGCCTCCAAATTTTAGGAATTAGGGGCCAAAAAAGGGGCAAAAAACGAGCATTTTTCTAGTTTCATGACAATAACTTGTGTGTAAGTGTATGGATCTTTCTGAAATTGTACTACAAGGTTCCATATCACAAAGGGAAAGCTGGGTTTGAGTTTGGGGGTAATTGCCCTAAACGTTTAGGAATTTGGGGCCAAAAAGGGGCCAAAAAACACATTTTTTTCTAGTTTCCAGACAATAACTTGTGTTCAAGTGTATGGATCTCTCTGAAATTGTACTGCAAGGTACCATACCACAAAGGGAAGGCTGGGATTGAGTTTGGGGGTGATGAATCATAATGGGGGTTCAAAAAATTTTGGGGGGGGATTTATTTTTTTTTCCTTTTTTTTTCTTTTTTTCCTTTTTTGTTTCTTTTAAAATTTTCCATTTTAAGTTGGTTATTTCTGATTTATATTTAAAATCAAATAATAATGATATGGTAGGAGATACACACCAAACAGGATGTGTAAATTATTATATAATAAGTATTGTGCAATAGCAAGAAATTTTCAATTGCACAGTATTGCACAATAGCAAGAAATCTTCAATTGCACAGTATTGCGCAATAGCAAGAAATCTTCAATTGCACAGTATTGCGCAATAGCAAGAAATATCCAATAGCACAATATTGCGCAATAGCAAGAAATTGTCAATTGTACAGTATTGCGCAATAGCAATAAATATTTAATAGCACAGGATTGTGCAAAAGAAGATACTTCCTATAAATTGCTTATTTCTTGACCAATTTCAATGGGGTTTTCTTCTTGATTTCATGGGGTTCTTTAATATGCTGAATCTAACCGTGTATTTAGTTTTTGGATTTTGGGCCCCGTTTTTAAATTGGTCCACATTGAGGTCCAAAGGGTCCAAAATTAAACTTTGTTTGATTTCATCAAAAATTGAATTATTGGGGTTCTTTGATATGCCGAATCTAACTGTGTATTTAGATTCTTAAATTTTGGTTCCGTTTTCAAATTGGTCTACATTAAGGTCCAAAGGGTCCAAAATTAAACTTAGTTTGATTTTAACAAAAATTGAATTCTTAGGGTTCTTTGATATGCTGAATCTAAACATGTATTTAGATTTTTGATTATGGGCCCAGTTTTCAAGTTGGTCCTAATCGGGGTCCAAAATTAAACTTTGTTTGATTTCATCAAAAATTGAATTATTGGGGTTCTTTGATATGCCGAATCTAACTGTGTATTTAGATTCTTAAATTTTGGTTCCGTTTTCAAATTGGTCTACATTAAGGTCCAAAGGGTCCAAAATTAAACTTAGTTTGATTTTAACAAAAATTGAATTCTTAGGGTTCTTTGATATGCTGAATCTAAACATGTATTTAGATTTTTGATTATGGGCCCAGTTTTCAAGTTGGTCCAAATCGGGGTCCAAAATTAAACTTTGTTTGATTTCAACAAAAATTGAATATATGGGGTTCTTTGATATGCTGAATCTAACCATGTATTTAGATTTTTGATTTTTGGGCCCTGTTATCAACTTTGTCCACATTGAGGTCAAAAGGGTCCAAAATTAAACTTTGTTTGATTTCATCAAAAATTGAATTCTTGGGGTTCTTTGATATGCCGAATCTAACCGTGTATTTAGATTCTTAATTTTTGGTTCCGTTTTCAAATTGGTCTACATTAAGGTCCAAAGGGTCCAAAATTAAACTTAGTTTGATTTTAACAAAAATTGAATTCTTAGGGTTCTTTGATATGCTGAATCTAAACATGTATTTAGATTTTTGATTATGGGCCCAGTTTTCAAGTTGGTCCAAATTGGGGTCCAAAATTAAACTTTGTTTGATTTCAACAAAAATTGAATATATGGGGTTCTTTGATATGCTGAATCTAACCATGTATTTAGATTTTTGATTTTTGGGCCCCGTTATCAACTTTGTCCACATTGAGGTCAAAAGGGTCCAAAATTAAACTTTGTTTGATTTCATCAAAAATTGAATTATTGGGGTTCTTTGATATGCCGAATCTAACCGTGTATTTAGATTCTTAATTTTTGGTTCCGTTTTCATATTGGTCTACATTAAGGTCCAAAGGGTCCAAAATTAAACTTAGTTTGATTTTAACAAAAATTGAATTCTTAGGGTTCTTTGATATGCTGAATCTAAACATGTATTTAGATTTTTGATTATGGGCCCAGTTTTCAAGTTGGTCCAAATCGGGGTCCAAAATTAAACTTTGTTTGATTTCAACAAAAATTGAATATATGGGGTTCTTTGATATGCTGAATCTAACCATGTATTTAGATTTTTGATTTTTGGGCCCTGTTATCTACTTTGTCCACATTGAGGTCAAAAGGGTCCAAAATTAAACTTTGTTTGATTTCATCAAAAATTGAATTCTTGGGGTTCTTTGATATGCTGAATCTAACCATGTATTTAGATTTTGGATATTGGACCATAAAAGGTGAATGTCCAATTTAAAATTTTTAAGTTCTTAGACCACATTCAATCTGTGTTAGAAACCTATGCTGTGTCAAATATTTAATCACAATCCAAATCCAAAGCTGTATCAAGCTTGAATGTTGTGTCCATACTTCCCCCAACTGTTCAGGGTTCGACCTCTGCGGTCGTATCAAGCTGCGCCCTGCGGAGCATTTTATTACCTGTTGCTAGTACAGCTTTGCTCCACAATAATTAATTTTCAGTCTTGTGCACAACTATTTCCTGCTTGGTCTAGCATTTTATAGGATAGAAAATTCATTTTCATCTTCGGCAAACTTATTTTTTTCAGTTATTACCTTGACAGAATATTCATTATGAAAACCCTTCCCAAATTTAATGGAGGGCATTTCAAATTTAAGACATACTAATGTCTACTGACATTTTTATGGACACCTGATTTTAGTTTTACAGTACTCCTTTGATCTATATATTTTCATAAAATATTACACACATTATGGATACGACAGAGTTCTTAATCAGAGTAATTCACACTCAATCAAAATTTATCAGCTTCACATGTTTAAGAGTGTTTAACATTAAAGTTTTTGTCCTGCACATGTTGGAAAGATTTCGTCCTGGAAGTTAAAACTTCAACAATAATTACAAATTTGTACATAATACCCTTCAGTGTGCCCCTCTTTGTTCTTTTTTGTCAGGGTGTTGAAAGGCCATGAGAAATTTGATGTGTTGATAGTTTAGCTGTCAAACTTACTTTATAACATACATGTAAATGATTTCATAACATGTTGGATAATATACATTACCATATAAGGATTGTTTTGTAAAAGGTTTAATTATAAAGTTCATTTTGTTAGATCTGGTATTGACTGGTTGCTGGGCTTGCAATTGCTGGATTTCCTTGAAAGTTTCTGTTAGCGGTTAGGAATTTTCATGGAAACACATATAGGCCCGAGTTTAACCCTTGATTTTAC